GCAGGTGTTAGTGCCTTGGGAACACAGACCTACGCTTAGAGAGCAGTGTTAAATTTCATCTGCAGGCTGCCCTGAAAAGATGCTACTTGAGTGGAGAATTTCTGGTTTACATCTGATCTGTCCCTGGGTGACGGTCACACCTTGCTGTCATCCCACAGGGACAACTAGGGCTGCAGGATTTGAGACAGCTGGAGGCAGTGGCTTGGCAGCAGGCAAGGCAGAAAGCAACACGTGTCCAAACAGAAGATATGTTGCTTTTAAGGGAAAGAAGAAAAGTTGAGGAAAACAGAACCAGTGACTTTGCAGAACTGAGAAAGAAAAGGAGCAGTAAGGGCCTGGTGAAAACCTGAGTGTGAGTTAACAGCAGTCTAGTTGCAATGCAGTGCAGAGACAACAGTCAGTCTGGGGTGACTTTTACTGGACTGAAGTTCTTGCTTACAAAATTTAAACTTTCATCTTTGTATCAGTTTTGCATTGTGTTATCATGGTGTTTGAAATCTAGTATTAAATGCCAGGATCTGGCAGGTATTTGCACGTAACTGTAGAGCCAGGAAGAGTGTTGAGTCTTGGGCTCTTAACTATCTCTGACATTAGTCTCATTAATGAGTCATTGCCATGGTAGTACAGAAACAGAGATTACTAGGCTATCAATAGGTATTTACTTCTCTTAGTCATAGCACTGACTCACTAGTAATATAAATTTTTTTCTATTAATTCCCTCTTGTATGTTGTTTGCCATTTACCTGCCACTGTGACGTTGTGAGTGGTTCATCATAATATTTTCCATTGTATGACTCAGTAAACCAAAAGACAATAGGACAGAAAGCTGTATGTGTCATTCGCACCAGGATTTAATTGTGATTTAAATTACTTCTGATTCCTTTAGTTAAAAAGCAGAGCAGTGAAGATAATTTATCCAACTTGATTTAAAATCCTCTGTAGCAAAAGTGTATCCTATATTTAATAAGATAAAACATACTTTGATGTCACTTGATGTTCTAGCTTTTGTAACTTAGCCATGACTATAGTTAATATATATTCTTAAGATAAAGATTATATTATTATGATAACCCCTTGGAATTCTGAAATCAATCTCCTTTCCCCACATTATTTCCTCCTTTAAGAACAGTGCTTTTTTTTTTTTTTTTTTCAAAGCAGTGCATATTAGAGTGTATGGAATCTCTTCAACTTATAACAACATTTATGATAAAGAAAGATGGAAACCAAATATTGTAAATGTATATAAAATTCAGACCACAGATTGGGTCTATCAGGCTGAACACCATCATCTGAGAGATGGAAAATATTTTTAAAGTTTGTAATTTTTTGATCTTTCATGGACTGAAGGTTAATTTAGATGGCAAGAGAAGTCAAACTTCTTTGTTATCAGATGAGAACTCACTATTGGGATGGAGTAATGAGATAAAATATTAATATGTTTTTAATGGTCTTGATATACAGTTAAAATGTTCCATAGCGCTCAGATGATCCAAATGCAGGTTATTCTCTGCAACTGAAAATCAATTATTTGCAGAAAGAGGAAGAGCTCTTTTCCATTATTAGTCTGTAATTGTGTAAGACCATAAAATATTAAATGCTGGAGATATATATCTTACATAAGAACTGAATGTTTGTTAGCAAACAGACTGTGGTTTTATTTCCCCCTGTTTTCAAGTAAAAGAATAACTAAAAATTCTTTTATTTTGAATGAACTGCTAGTTATCTTGCTGGAACATTGAAGATAACTATTGATCCCACTGAAAATGCACATAGACCTTATCTTACCATATGGATGCCTCTGGGTAAAAACCCAGAAACACAAGCCTTGTTGATAGCAGGTCATCTACTTACGGATTTGGGATCTGACTGTGTTGTAACTCCTGTTCTGGACAATCAGCGGTCTTTCCACACAAAAAATGAATCAGTGAGATCTTATTTGGGGCTGCATTATACTGTGCTACTTAAAAAATGTAATATAACAAATTGAGTGTGCTAACGCCCTGTTGTAAATTTCAAAAGTGAATTATTTCAAATTTCAGGGTTATTGAAATGACATGTTACTCAGAATTTAATGTTTGAGTCTTACAAAAAAAGCCCAATAACTAATGTGCTGATAAAATATTCACAAACAGAACCTTTGTTAAACAGGACTTCAGGAGAGAGTGCTTCTTCTCATAGCCTTCTAGTGTACAGAAAAGCTGAGGCTGAGAATGCGGAAAAACAGACGAGCAGAGTTCAGGCAAGTGACAGTAATGTTGTAGTAGGAGATTTATAGGGAGAAATAAACCAGTATCTTTTTTTAGAGTAAGCAATACAATTTTGAAAAAAAACCCATGAGCTTTTGAGGGTCTGATGCTTTCTGTCTGACATGGTTTGTACACTCTAACAGAGTGTAAGAGGCAGCACTGCAAAACCAGGTATTCACGCTCGACAGCCACAAACCCACATGCTTTTTCTAGCAAGCTGTTAAGAACAATATACTAATCAACATGAGGCTCAATCACAGAAACAAGTGCTTCACAAAGTAACTGGACCTGGAAATCATGCCTGCTGTAACTTAGGCAGGTTTTCCTTGCTTGGCTGTCACCCAGGAACCTCCCACTTAATTTTGGACAAGCTTCTAAACTCGTGCTGGGGGAGTGCTGTAGGGAAGGCTGAGTGAAGGGAACTGCAGAGAGACATTGGGTGGCCAGAGGCTTGATCCAGAAACCAAAGGGGGCTGTTTCTTTTGAACTACCCAACAGCCTATCTGGGTCTTTTTTTCTGAACTTTATCAGTTGGTCTCATAAAAGACATTGTTTCCCCATGTAAATCTACCTGTTCATAGAGGGTCATGACTATGAAGACACTTGCCCAAATGGCACTTTGTCTGTTTCTCAGACACTCACCTGATTTTTCATAGGTAATACCCTATATTTATTTTGGGACATGCACAAACTGATGTTACTGTCGACATCGCCATCCTCGGAGCCTCCTGCTAGCCCTGGGAAGAGAGTGTAAATGTGTATGATAACGGGCACAGGCTTGCCTGAGCCCTGCTGTGGAGTTAGTTAGGTGTTTTGTGGTCTGCTTGGGGCACCGTCTGAAGAGCCGAGCCTGGGTCTGTGTTTGTCTTCGAAAGGGTAGAGTTTCTCATCAGAAGATGAGAGAAGTAGGTCGCCCAGGTTGTGAGGGGCCAGGCTGGATGAGCTGAAAGATGACAAAAGACACTGGTTCCCTGCCAGTACAGGTGCTGCTACATTTGTTTATTGTTCGTGACACACGTGATTTTCTACATGTTCATCCTAAGATGAAGGTACGTCCTCTGCACTCGCGGGCTGCGCAGCGCCTGGGGAGTTTGGCTCAGGCTTGTAGAAAGGCTTACGGCTACAAAGCTCAGGCTAGAACACCCTACTTTATTTATAGTTGTTTTAGCAGAGCTCTTCCTGTTGTCCTCTGTGGGCTGGGAAGGCTGGTGGGCAGGGGGGCACTCCTGAATGATTCACAGGCAGCTGTTGAAGGCAGCATGAATTCAAGCCATTTACAAAACCATCCTGGAACGAGGTCCTTCCAAGGAGAGTGTGGGTAACGGCTGGGAAGCACCACTGAATGGCGATTTGGGAATGATCTCAAGCACCTCCAGCGTTCAGCTGAAATGTTGTTGTGCTCTGTTACTAACGTGTTGCTATACCACTCCTAAGTTTGAACGGCAGGGCGTGGGGTGTAGATTTTTTTTCTAGGAAAATGGAAGTCTTTCCAACATTGTTGCTTTGATTTCAGACAAGGCTTTTACGGTTTATCTTTTTCTCTCCTCTGGCATTCTCCCTGCTCGGGTGTTATGTCAGGTCAGCTCCTCACACAGCAGGGACTTCCTCCTCCCAGTACCCTGGAAGGCAGCAAGCGCTACCTCGTCCTGGCAGGCAAGGTCCCTTCTGCGCATTGACAACGATTATTTTTCTCTCAGTTTTCCCTAAATTTCTGCCGTTCCAGAAGGTTCCCTGGATGCGAGGGGTTTAGGCAAGAGCTCCCATAGCTTGTGCCTGGCCCTCAGAGAAGTGGAAAAGACCCCGACGGTGTAAACCACAGGGAAAATTTTTAGAAAAACGATTTTATTCACCCCACGACCCAGCTAAGGTGTGCCCCTCGGGCAGGGCAGGGACCCTGTGCCTGTCCCTGTGCCCCCCCCGGGGCGAGCAGCCGGCCCTCAGGCGGCCGGTGGGGCTGAGGGAGGCGGGCCCGGCCCCGCGCCTGGGGCCGCGCGCCCCCTCGGGCT